CGAATATCGAAAAAACTACAAATGTTACACCACAACCAATCAACAATTTTTGCATAAATGAATTTAATAAAACCGTTGACTAATGTCATAAAAATCTTATGCTATGCTAATGCGGTTATCCATCTTACCTTGACCGTGGCCACGTTGCTTAACCTTGGTAAGCAAATCGGAAATCAGAGTACGAATGAATGAATTTTACATTGCATCATAGTTTGAAACCTTAAGGTCCGGTTTTTATTTGCACCATATAAGTAACTGACTGATAAAACTTAGCTACTACCATGACAAAAGGAGAAAGGTATTGAGTAAAAGGTTTAGATTTTGTTTGATTTCCAAAATTTTCTATAGCAGACTGTTAAAGTTCTACTTCACCCATTTCAAGTTTTACAAATCTTTCCTTATAAGTTCTACTAGGTTGATCATGAGTCAGATCAAATTTGACGCGGACTTTGTTGCATGTATCATCCATCAATGAAAATTCTTTAAATATTTAAAACATGTGTCTGATGTCTGGGCTTTTACCTTGTGCATAAGATATGACTAGCTGCTTAAGTCTTGATTTGGTTTCCTAAAGGAATATCTTGAGCTGTCAGTATCCAACTACGATTAAAATTTGAAAACAGATGTAAATCAGACTGACATAGGCCCCATTCTTTCCAACTAAGACCGGCAACGCAATTGTAACTGCTCTGGTGTTGCGGGTATCCATGGTGATGATGGGCGTCCATTGCATGGGTACCGTTCATCACCACTTACCATCAAGTGATCCGTCTGCTCGTTTGCCTTCTGTCCCATAAAAAACTTCGACTAATAGCAATGCATTTGTCTTGTTTGATGTTACTGCACTCCGAGTATAATCCAATTGTCTATGAATATGACGAATGGCCCTGGTCTATCACTCTTCATATAAAGCAGGACTATTGGAGGAAGTGCATAATAATGTTGAGATTTCCTCTCATACATTGTTGCAAGAATCGAATAACTCTCCAACCCTATTTCTGTATTGTTTCACCGATGGACGTTTTAAAAGTGCCTGTATTTGAATTATCGAAATTATTATTTTGAATTTACTTTCTAAGATATCGGTTGGTTTGTCGGTGATGACAAGTACCTATTAACGATTTGATTCTGTGTAATCTTGCACCCAATTTTGCAAGTGATTCATGCCTTACCTTTTTTGTTATGATAATTATGCAGTTTTGGAAGATTGTAGTTAATTATCAAGTAAGTCTGTGGCGGCACATTTCACAAATCAACGGATGAACCATCACCACAAAATCCTATCATCATCGCACATGTAGAGTTTACATGCGAATTAATACAGATAGAAAATCCCAACAAACAACTGTTGGGCAGAAAGCCCGCCAGGCACGATTACCTCGCCTTGTCGGAGGATCCTGCTTTTCCGATCTCAGGGAACTATACTCTCTGTTCCCTACAATTTTTTATTAATTTCCTTCCAATTCTTTAATAGTCATAGGGATTTTTGCGTGCAATTTGTCACGAGTGCTAAATCTACTCTCTTAAAAACTTTTTTTATTACACATCATTATTGTGCTCCTTTTCTGTATATCCGGATAATTCCTCGAAGAATTACAGATAGAGCTCTCATATTCCCCTTCCAGGAATATTACATCATGTTTTTCATATTAATTATTTTACATAATAAGTATTGAATGTGGATACATTCACTTCCAAAAACATGTAATAGTACCCATTTAGTTCCTTAATTATATTACAACGCCATCTATTAATAATATCAGGAAAATGCTTAGTAACTGTCACGTAGTTACATCATTGTTGTGTTGACATTTTCATACCATTCAAACCCATAAGTTACCTTGCTCATACTATTAGTTTTATTTGCACTAAATGTAATGCTTTCAAGTAACTATGACTCTTTTCTTCTTCTTCTGTTCCTCTACCTAAGGAAAACCAATACTAAGTTTACAGACGGCCATCGTATTCTAAGTAAACCTGCAACACTAGTACCTAATATAGGTATGTAGATCATAGCTCATCCAGTTTAAACACCAAAATACAACAACCATTGAATACGGATTTCCCATTAGCAATAATATTATTATCTATTCTTTAAGCCTCTGCCGAATTCGGTGAGGTGATAGTTACTAGTCCAAAATTAATTTCATACAGATATTTATTTTTATTTTTTTATTTATTTATTTAATTCAAAAACAATTTACATTGTGTGTGAATTAAAGCTTAAAACTAATAACACTGCCATCTGTTATTTGAAACCGCCAATTAATGTGTCTTTCCTCAAACGAAGATAAATTGTTTTAGAATAAATCGTCACACTTTTGTTTTTATTGCATGCTTTTCAAAAGACGTCAGAAAATTAAAAATCTATTTAGTCCGTGATTTAAATAGTGAAAAAATGTTACCTAGACTATATTTTTTTATTTTGTCGTATTGTAAAATAATACTTAGATAAAAAAAATCAAAGGAATCTCTGAAATGTCAGTTCTACGTATAAAATGTACATAGAAGTGACGTCAAGCGACATTTCAAATCAATATATCGTCTAAAGTATTCGTTTATGTGAGAAAATAAAAAATACGTGTATAATATTTTAAAATAATCTACCAGACGGACATTAAAATAAAAATTAGACATCTACCATTTTCTTAGAAAACTTGTTTTCGTATTAATTACAGACATCTCCTAAATAGGTTACTTGATATCCATTGTCAAACTTTCAGTCATCATCATCATCAACAGCCTATAAATGCCCACTGCTGAGCAAAGCCTCTTCTCACACTGAGAAGGCATTAATCATTACGCTTGCTCAATGCGGGTTGGTGATTACAAAATTATAATTAGAAATTTTAAGGCCAGGTTTCCTTACGATTTCCTTAACCGTTTGTCAGTATTGTCTAGATAATCTTAGAAAGTAAATAATTATGACCTTTCATATAAACTTTCAGTAACCCTGAACTTCTATCAAAAATGATTACCCGTCATTCAGTACGGATAGGTCAATAACCTCAACTTTTCGCTAATCATGGCCACATGGACTTCACTTTTTGGTACTTGGGAATTTTCTCGACCGTGATCGCTATCTCTTAGAGCCTCTACCGACATCATGTTATAATATAACCTCATTGTTAATTATTATTATAGAAGTAATTCTATAACCGGTTTCCCTATTAACTATAGAACTTGTGTAAACTTAAAAAAAGTAATTACTTATACTACGCTTACCGCCTCGTGTCTCAAACATCTTGAACATTTAGCATTGAGAACACGTAATTCTGTTGAGGTTAAAAATTATTTTATCATTAGGTTGGTAAAAGAATTATAAGTTTTTAAAACCCTCCGAAATTCATGTAGGTTATTGGTCACGCATGCGTCCTATATCTACAAGCCTACACTTAAGATTTTTTTCACCCAAAATACATGCATCCTGGATTAAGCCTTCCCAATGACTTCCAGATCCATCATTTGTCTCAATTATTATTATTTTCTTGAATTCGACTTTATTAACTCGTCGAGTACCAGTTTTGTAGACACAATTATAGAACAATAGGTTGCGGTCACCGGTGACCGCTTGGTGTTTGACAGTTTAATCCATAAGTGGTTATTCAACACATCTATAACTTTACAATGTTTCCTATTTCATGTAGTTTATCTAACTTTGCGGTTCAAAACTGGATCGTACGTATGCAAAAGCCACTAAAAGTGGACTTGATCGACAACATGTTTCGTTAGTATCTATTAATTCACCTTGTTTGGTGTTTACTGCCTAGTCACTTCGACTCTGCTGATTTTAAATCCTCCTAATATAATCTTGAAGTCATAGATTTAAAACATATTACATAAAGATATACCTTCCCCACTGTGTTAATACCTTCCTCCATTTTTCTATGCGTGATGTAAAATGACTTATAAAATTAACAATCCAAAGCAACTTTTTAATTTTTTCTCAGGCGTTCGATTTTCCAACAATAAAATCTTTATTCCAAAGTCCTTTTCTATCGTTGTTATAGTCACCAGTACTTTTGTAAAGGGTAAAAATAATGCTAACTCATTTATAATTAGCCATAATTTTCTTCTTAAGTTACCAAGGAAGAATGTTAAGGTACGAATGATTTAGGAGTACCACAAGGTCCTGTCTTATGACCTTTATTTATTTGAACGCTTATTTACAATAATTACTAAATCATATACAAGCTTAAAATAATTCACAAAAATATTTTATTTTATCTATCCGCTCCAAAATAATGTTGACAAAGCAATTCATAATTTTCCTTAACAAATATACATAGTTATTGCCAAAAATCAGGCGACACTAAACAAAAAATTAACGAATTGTCGTTGTTTTCTTTATTTACTTACCTATATTCTTTTCGACCTTCGAAAAACCAACGTGAATAGTGAATACTTAAGCAGCATTTATACTTACTGCAATAAGTAATTATTAACGTTTAACGAAACAGGTATGTTCAAATTCAAAATGGCGTCTCTACTCGACTAAGAACGTTGAATAAAATATCTAACGTATGACCGTTTTTAGGATATCTAATGACGTTATGTAAGCCTCTTTTGTCCATCCTTTCGTTTAATTTAAATACGCAGCCATATTTTAAAATATTATGCATGTCTGTAAAATTGCATCGTTCCAGGAAAACTGCGACGTATAAATAGGTTTCTACTTATTTATGAAGGTTTTATGTAGCGACACAGATTTGTTATATCTCTAAAGAGTACCTAGAGGTACTCGGTTTTAAGTCTAACAATAAATCAATAACAATGTTATAAATAAACGTTATCTCGTGTATTAAGAAGACAAAATTAAAAGACGCTCAGTAAAAATTAAATATTGTTCTATTTCTACTCTATACAGTCAGTCCACAGTTAGAATTAAAGTGACACAGAAAATATTTCAATTTAATTTACTTTAAATGCGAACGGAACAGAGAGCGGTGTGGGTTATTTATATACTTTGAAATGGTTGTATGAGCCGAACGTTTCGCCGACCGAAGCCTCATATTAACGGCAGACTACTGCTGCGGCAGTCTCGCGCCGCGCTCTATTATTTCAACGTAAGATTCTTTATCGAACGCCCGTAATTTAACGTTCCATTCAATATCTAACGCGATTTATTTAATGATAAAATTACGCCATATTTGATTTTTTATTCCCGCGATTTGTATTGTCAGATTTGTTTTTTTTTTCTTTTTCGCAACTGTGATTTCAACCCTGCCAGCCAGTGTCGTGTCGCGTTTATTCTTAGTTTAATTCTCATAATTTTTGCAAAGTGAAATTCGTGTTTAACAGTGACTTGACGAAAAAATTGATACGCTCGAATTATAAATATTATTTTATAATCTGGTTTGTTCGAAGTGGTTTGAGTTTCCTTTCATTTTTGCCTTTAGTGACGGTTTCATAAACTTGTATTACAGTGACTCTGTGGCAAATGAAGTTTTATTTGATTATTTTTATACGGCATTTAAGTAACTGTGTTTCGTGCGATGAAAAAGAAAATGAGTAAGTTTATTTTTTATTAATCCTATGAGATAGTTGTTGTGGGAATTTTAATTAAGTTATTGTCCATTATACTTTTAAATTGAGGCTAATAAAAAAGCCATTAACATATAATTTTTCCTCGTTCACCAATCTAGAACGCGTACTCGCATACTTTATAATATTTATTAAATACTAAATTTATTTACAAAATGACATCAATGTTTGGGCTTTGAAATTATACAAACAATATTTGTGTCAGTTGTATTATTCGGAGTGTATTTATACTTATGCCGTCGAATGCATTTGATAATGCGAACTGCGGGCCGTCCCTCCCTCCCACGCCCTCCCACCGCCTACAAAAGGGCATTCGTGCTAATTTCAGATATTCTCACAAGCAGAACACTGAAAAGATTTTTAGATTATCTCTTTAATACTCGTACGTTGGTGTAGGCACAAATCGTTCATTAAAGGAAAATGTGTAAACCTAAAAGTAAGGAAAGATATTTGCCAAAATTTTCCTTCTAACCCTCTCCTTGGTAACGACAACAGACGAACAAGCAAAATAAAAATAGATTTCGGATCCATGTTTTTATGGTTTTCATAGCAACAATAAAGTATTCCACAATAATCAGAATCTAGAAATAACATACAAACGATATAGAAAGGGCATTGATTAAAATTGGTGCCTTTCTTTTTTCTGGCGGCAGTCGATGATTTATGGAAAATATTATCTAGAATGACATTACAAACGAAATTGTCTATGGGCTTATATATGGAAATCTCAGTCTGGACTGAGTTATGAGCGTTGAAAGGAGCTGGAGTCAAACTTTTTACTTCGGTTTTTTATTCAAATTATTCATAGTTTTGCCACAATTTCTAACTTCGAATTGCGCGCCACTGTACTCCGGGCACAGGAAAATCATATCACACCACTATATATTCGTATTGCCCGGCACTAATTTTTATTACCTATTTTCTCTCAGTCGATAACTTGTGGGATGCTTCTAGGAGTTGTGTCATGAAGCTTCATGAGTGTCAGCTGTGGTACCAGTGGTGGGTTGAGTAGTGGTAGCCGTCCAAACATCTAATAAAGTATATTTTTTTTTGCCATTGATTCCTGGTGGGACCCTCATCTACTTAATAGTTAGCATAATCTTTTGAAGAAAGAAAACCGTCGACTTCTAAAGTGATCAGCGCTATTCAATCCGCTACCGACGCCGCAGCTGACAAACATAGCATTTCATGATAGGGCTCAGTAAAGTATTTTGCGGGTTTTCGATTGAGAGGAAATTGATCATGAAAATCTGTCATAGGCCATAAACCATATAAAGTGAATACGCTAGCCAATCAAGCGAAATGTTTTCTTTTAACTTGAGCAGTGGCCAGTTAATGGTTCACTCTGTTCTGGTTCCGTGGCCATAAGGACAACGTGACAAAAAAAAAACAAATAAGAATAATAACAAAATAGTCTACAAAAAGCTTTATTACATTCCTTGAAATCGTTTATAATCATTTATTACAAAATATTTCTGACATGTAAATGAAGAAATATGCGTTGTGTACGGTCACCATCAACAAAATAACAGGAATAATATAGCACTATTTTCACATCTTTGAACTGATTTAACTCGGTTCGGACTGTGTTTTTGATATAAGACCCCATACATTTTTTTGTTTGTAATGTTATTCTGCATCAGTTTTTCCACATCCGATCAACTGCCGCGAAAAAATGGAAAGGCACCACGCTCCATACAAATTTGGTCATTGTCATTTTTGTAACAATATTCTTCATAAACTAAAAAATGACTATGATAAAATTAACTTAAAAAACAGTAGAGGAGACATAAAGAAAACATGGAATGTCATAAAGCATGTATGTAATCTCGGAGTTAAAGATAAATCACAGGTATCAACTGAATTATTAAAACAAAAGTCAACACCGCAAGACTCTGTCGACTACGTAAACGATTTTTTTGTTAATATCGGCTCTAAATTATCAAAAAACATTCTAGAAAAATTACAACTAAAAGAGCATGAACTTGTGCAAAAAAATAAATCTACGTATGGTGTTGTGGACTCTTTTTTGCTGTGGGAAACTGATGAAGTGGAGGTACGTAAAACCATTGCATCACTAAAAAACACGAAATCTACAGGATGGGATGGAATATCAGCTGATTTTATTAAAAAAACATGTAAATTTATTATTACGCCCTTAACTCACATATTTAATTTATGCATCTCATCGGGGAAATTTCCAAAAATATTGAAGGATTCCTTAGTTTTACCTATATTTAAATCGGGTGATAAAAATTGTATCACTAATTACCGTCCAATTTCTCTTTTACCTACACTGTCTAAAGTTCTCGAAAAAATAATGAACAATCGGCTTGTTAGTTATTTGGATAAAAACAATATCCTTTCACAAAATCAGTTTGGTTTTAGGAAACGTATATCGACCACAGACGCAGTTGAAAACTTGGTAACAAGTGTGGCTAGCAATCTCGACTCAAAGAAAAGATGCCTTGGTATATTTTTGGATTTAGCCAAGGCATTTGACACCGTTTCAATTCCTCTGCTCATAAATAAATTGGAGGCTATAGGTATACGCGGAAAACCACTTGATTTGTTCCAAGATTATCTAACAGATAGATCACAGGCGGTTAAAATTGGTAGTTATGTTAGCTCTAAACAAAACGTTAATTTCGGTGTGCCTCAAGGATCAGTACTTGGACCTACATTGTTCTTGATTTACGTAAATAACCTATGTAATATGAGCTTCCCCGACGCAAAAGTAATTACATTTGCGGATGATACAGTGGTCTTATTCCAAGATAAAACATGGGCTGATGTCAAGGCGTCCGCCGAGCGGGGTCTTCGACAGATAATTAAATGGCTTGATTACAATTTGCTGACGCTAAACCTCTCAAAAACGAAATATATAACTTTTAGTTTAAAAAACAATCTACAACCGCCTACCGATTTTGTCTTAAAGGCTCACGACATTGATTGTCAAAATACCAATGATTGTGATTGTTTCTTGTTGTCCGCAACGGACAGTACTAAATATCTTGGTATCGACATTGATAAAAATTTGAACTGGAAACAGCACATAAGTAATTTAAAAACTCGCATACGCAAACTCATACCAATTTTCAAAAAGATTAGGAATTTACAGGACAAATCCACTAACAAAACTGTTTACTTCACATTGTGTCGATCTATACTTTCTTATGGTATTTCGGCTTGGGGTGGTGCTGGAAAAAGTAATATCATAAAAATAGAAAGGGTTCATCGATGTATCCTAAAGGTCATAAACTTCAAAAAATTTACGTATCCCACGACTGAACTATACAAAGAATTTGAGGTTTTAAACGTTCGTCAACTTTTTATACAGAGTATAGTGCTAAAACAGCATATCAAAAAAAGGCCAATAAATAAATCTTCGAGAAGATCACATGAGGTGTATGATGTCCCAGCCTGTAAAACAACATTTGCACAAAGTTTCTCCTTTTTCCTGGCTCCACTATTGTACAATCGTATAAGTAGAGTAAAACCCTTAAAAGATATGACAAGACATGCTTGCAGAAGGGCACTGGATGAGTTTCTCGGTAAAATGGACTATGAACGGACTGAACAATTCATAAAAATATGAGCTCAAGACTAATTTATTTATACATATTCTTCATACCAGTAAATTTTATTTATCATACATAACTACCTATATAGATTTATTATTTATTATTTTTTTTAATATATATTGTCTATATGTATATACATTATTATTGTTTAATATATAGTGTTTATTCTTATTTCATCTATTTATTTTTTATTTTTTATTTTTTTATTCTTTATTTTGTATTTTGTACCAAATGCTTCAAAATATCTACATTTACATTAATAATGTTAATACTTAAATGTTTACTCCTCATCACTTTACAAGGACATAACTACAGAGTGGGAAAACTATACATTACGCATATATCAAAGGTACATACCAAAAATGAGTTGCACATAAATATTGGCCAGTTACTAATTTTGTACTGATCACCAGTTAAATTTTTCGCACCAGATTTTTTGTCTAAAAGTTTTGCATGTACTATTTGTTCATACTTTGTGGCTGTTACTTATTATAAAATTATTAGTAGTTGAAAAATCAAAGCTGTAAGCAAAAGGGTACTTTATGTTCTACGTTACATGATTGAAAATAAATCGTTCGAGCGAGAATCTTACCTTGCCGTAACACAGTCTTTGACTAGCACGGGAGGTAAAGTAAAAAATCTACGTATACCGTCTGTGGACATTTATTACACTTTTGGTATCAAACTTATTGTCTTGTGAATTACTGAGTTAAATTACTTTTGTTTGCAAGGTGTATTATAGGATTGCTGTTGCTGTGTATTATTGATACTACAGAAATGCCACTACTTTTGTTAACTTGTATGTATACATTATAAACTAGTATTTTTTGGTCTACCTTGCAATTGTGATTGTGATTTCTATGTATTCATTATCGCTTTCTGTTAAATAATAGGTTTACTTGTCCTTTGTTTTGCTAAATAAATTATTCTTATTCTTATTCTTATTCTTCTTATTGAGGTGTTTACCGATGTTCAAGAAAATCATTCCCTACCAATAATTCTTCAGATAAAATTGAACAAAATCCATTCGAAATAATTACCCACTTCAAACCTGTATTGCTCTAGAAAAGTGAAAAAAAAAAACGAAAAAAATATCCGATAAAAAAATCAGGACATAAGCCACTGACTTAATCGATATGAAGAGGATACAAACGAAACAATATTCATGTTTCTATTAAAAGTGAAACTTGAGACGTATAAGTGGATAAGTACTGTGTGTATAATTTTATATTGATTGCTCATTCCTCGGGGAGTTACAAACCTTGAGGGAGCTTATTAGTACTCCGTACACAGACGAGAGTACGTTAAGGACTCTTTAGGATCTGAAGTTGATATAATTTTAATCTTACTAATTGGGTCCTTGGTTATGGTTTGTTAGCTATT